GAGTCCCGGGATCGAGTCCCGCATCGGGCTCCCTGCTCGGCAGGGAGTCTGCTTCTCCCTCTGACCCTCCTCCCCCTCATTCTCTCTGTCTCTCATTCTCTCTCTCTCAAATAAATGAATAAAATCTTTAAAAAAAAAAAAAGAAGAGCCAAATCCATTGTGATGGTAGTGTAGTGGTATTGTTATTTTTTTTAAATTCTTTTTTTTTTATTCTTATGTTAATCCCCATATATTACATCATTAGTTTTAGATGAAGGTATTGTTATTAAATGCTTCTTTGTATACTCTTACTTCACCCTGGAGGTATTTATATTGTTTCCGCACTTGTGTAAAATTAAGATAACTGACACGTGGCAGGAAGGGTGATTTTGAGAGTTATTTGGCTTTATCTATGCTTTCAGCACAGTGCTTGGCAAAAGGTAGGCCCTCAGTATATCCTTATGGTCAGTAGTAGCCAAAATGCCATTCCTTACTGGCTGTGAACTCAGTTCAGGACCCATTCCTGAGGATCTGACAGTTGCTTAAACTGTACCCTCACCTGTCCTGTAGAAAAAGTTGCTGTGTATGTAATTCTGTTGGAGACTTCCACAAAATTCTCTTTTCCTCGACTTTTTTCCCCCCTTTTATTCCTCCCATTTACTACAGAAAACTGGTAAGAATATTATTAATACTGACATAAATGAAAGACAAAGATATTTCAGTCTCGGAGGTCTTCCCTATACCTCCATCCACAAAAGAGAAGGAGCACAGGAGTATACCAGCAGTACGGTAGACCACCATAGACATTCCCTTTATTTCCACCTCCCCAACTGTCTGAAATGGAGCAGAACAGATCATCAATAAAATGAATTGTAAGGCCACAGCATATGCTAGATCAGGGGTTGACAAACTTTTTCTGTAAGAGGACAGATAGTAAATATTTTAGGCGCTGTGAGCCACATACAGTCTCTGTGACATGTTCGTTGTTTTAACAGCCTTTTAAAAATGTAAAAACAATTTTTAGATCATGGGCTGTAGAAAAACAGGAAGCTGTGGTTTGCTGACTCCTGTCCTAGATTGGTAATTTTTATCTCCTTCTAATTAAATTAGCCTAGAGCGTTTTTTTATACTTTTGAGTATAACCAGAGATCTCTGGGCAACCCAAAAAGTGCCCCAAATCTCAAACCCATATAATCCCCTTTCCTTGATTAAATTCCTTCAAGAGAAGTAAAAGTCCCAGCACTGAAATGTACCCTCCCTTTTAGCCGCAGAGAAGTTACTCCCCAAAATAATTCAAGTTTAAGTTGTTTTCCACATTTTGGTCCACTCAGTTTCAGCCAGAAGTTTGTTGCACTACAGGACCGAGCTAGACAGTCTAAGTTCATTCTTCAGCAGGTTCAGCTTCGTCTGTCTTTCACTGGAATGTAGTTTCTTTGTGTTTCTTTTTGTTTTTTCTGTATTTCCCGTTAAATTAATTCAGCTTCAACTTTTCTCATGTAGTTTGCTTTTGCAAAGTTCCAAAGGATCTATAAGACACATAAGAAAATTATAGCCCTGGGCCTGCAGCCAGAAAAGATTGGCTAAGTAAGAGTTATTCTGTGACCAACTACATTATCTGGAGGAAAGGGGTAAAGTCTTGGTTTTCAGCTTTGCAAGAATGTCTCTTATTTAGAGTCTGTAGTCTGAACATAAAGTCTCAGGAGAAATCTCCATTAGGTGGTTAATTATTATACATGTGTTCTGCTCAGACACTGCCTGCCTTGTTGGAAATTTGAAACACTCTAGACTTCTAAAATTTAGAAATTTGGGATCCGATGACACCTCCAGTCTCAAATCTTAACTTGAGACTCTTTCTTTTCCCCCAGTGTCTTCCCATATTCGTAAAGGTTTCCTATTTTATTTTTCTATTGATCATTCATTAGTGATACGTCCACTAGACTGACTTTCTAATGGGTCATTTCTGTATTACTAAGTACTCTATTACTAATACCTCATACACTGCTAGTGTAAGTTTATTGAAGGAGTAACAGTAGACTCTAGGAATATGTCTCCAGCTGTATCTTGTCAACAAGGCCCTATACCTCTATGACAGCTGTTTTCTAAGCAAACATACGATCTTCTGTTTCATATTTTTGAAATCCCATGGGTTTATAAGTTCTCTGTCCTTTGGGTTGCTGCCTCCTACTCTGGAATTCCATAAGTTGAGGTTTTCTCATACTTGAATGGTATACAGCCGCCCCTTTAAAGTAGAAGAAGGAAAAAGAAACCTTAAGGGCTTCGTGTGGTGATTTATATTAATTGTATTACATGTCTTCAAGTTATAAAAAAACAAAACTAGTCATTAAAATTCTTATCCTTATAGCTCTGTACAAATCCACAATCCTAATTAGAGATTTTAACATTCCTCTAGGATAATATAAAACCAAAACAGTTTTATAAAGTAATAAGTAACAATCTAGTATCATAATCCAAGTAATAAATCTAAGTAATCTAATGTCATAGATGATGTTTCAGTAAAACTAAATTGCTAATAGTAGAAAATGGAGCCTCAGGTAGTCCTGTGCATTTTCTTGCTCACATAAATCATTTGGATGGTCCCTGAGGTGATCCAGAATATGGTTATGTTACCTTTTTTAAAGGTTAGTATTAGAAAGAAAACAGTTAAAAATAATGACATTCTAGACTTAAACCCAACTATATCAATAATTACATTAAACATAAGTAGACTTAATGTGCCAATTAAAGGCAGAGATTATCAGGATTTATAAAAAAAGAAAGACCAAACTAAATACTATTTAAAAGAGACATAAAGATACAAAGTGGTTGAAAGTTAAAGGATAGAAAAAGCTTGTGTGATGTCATACAAAATGGTCTTCAACACAAAGAGTATTAACAGAGAAAGGGCAATTTCATAGGAATAAGAATATCAGTCAAAAAGTACATAAGAATCCCACATGTTTATGCAGCCAGTAATACAGCTTCAAAATACATGAAACATTATTGATAGAACTAAAAGGAGAAAGATAAATTTGCAATCAGGTTTTTATACTCCTCTCTTAGTATCTGATAAAACAACTAGATAAAATCAGTAAAAATGTGATATTTAGATAATACTATTAATCAACTGTAATTGGCATTTATTAGACACTGTATTCAGCAACTACGGAGTATACATTCTTTTTCAATGCACTGACTTCCTCTTGGCAAACAAAAGTGCAAAAGTAAGTGCAGACATTGGTATTATATAAAATGTCATTGCAGTAAAGATTGCTTTAAAAAAACTTTTTGACAAAACGCTATTACATTGTGTTTAACCTAACATGACTCTCACACTAATAATGAAGTAAGTATACTTAAGAAATAGGAAAACAGTTAACTGATTTTTTTTATATTATTTTTTGGATTTTGTTTGTTTCTTAGGTTTTCATTGCTCAGTCCAGATCATCTGGAAGTCACCGTGATGTTGAAGATGAAGAACTTACGAGAATATTTGTTATGATACCAAAGTCCTACACAGAAGAAGATCTGCGGGAAAAATTTAAGGTATTTATGTTTTCTAATCAGCTAGTATCTGTGGTAACTTACAATCCTAAATTGGTTGTATGGTTATTAAATCTCAAGTGTTGTTTGAGTTAGATGATTAGATTGCTGGTAGAGAATTAAGGAACTGTTTTTAAGTCACCTATTTCCATCTAGTTTTAAAATATTAAACCTAGAATAAACTAACTTAAAAAAAAACATAAAAACTGAAAAATATTAATGATGGTATTTTCCCCCATATAAGGAAAACACAGATTCAGGAAAATAAAGTATAAAGCCTGGAGTTTTAAATTAGGTCACATACCTGGTAGGTGGTGGAACCTGCTCTTGGTCTTTACACTTTCAAAGTACCCTCTCACCACTCTGTTGCTCTCATATAGAGGGGAGTCAAGCAAGCCTGAGTGTGTGAACTGTATTATCTAGTATTGATTATAAGCCTGTGGCATGTAGATGTATTTATTCACAGAAAGGCTCATCCTTTATAGAATTTTTGTCCTAAAATTAAGCCTTTGAAGGAGTTCTATTTAAAGGAAAAAAAACTACAGCTCTGAACCGTATAGCAAGATTATAGTCCAGGAAATTTGAAGAGAATTTTAAATCTCTTTTTAGCCATTGATTTTTATATATGTGATATACTTTCACAAAAATTATTAAAAAGCAATTCTTAAATTGTTTTGAGTTGTAATTTTTCATCCTTTTTCTAATAAGTTTCCCAACACTATGAATCAGGTGGGCAACAAGCAAGAAAGAAAAGAAACAAATAGTGAAAAGTAATTTTCAAATTTTCTCTGTCCTACCCCAAGTAAGAGTTGAATAAAATATCTCAAAAATAACAACTACCAAAAATATATATTCCATACTTCTTCCAATAGTAAGAAGGAAGTTTTTATCTTACATATTTATAAATTTTTATCTTTTTCTGAGTGAACAAATATGACATTTTTATCCAAATGTATAATAATTAAGTTGCTAACTGGTTACGTGAGAATTTTACAAAATAAAAAATAAACACTAAGGGGGCACCTGGGTGGCTCAGTTGGTTAAGCATCTGACTCTTGATTTTGGCTCAGGTCATGATCTCAGGGTCGGGAGGTGGAGCCCTGCATAAGGCTCCACACTCAGCTCGGAGTCTGCTGGAGATTTTCTCTCTCCCTCTCTCTCTGCCCCTCCCCCTGCTCACACACATACACTGTCTCTCTCTAAATAATAAATAAAATCTTTAAAAAAATAAATACTAAGAATTTGTATCCCATATTTCTACCAACATTGAAAGTAAACTTTTACCCATATTTTTCACATAGAGAATTGACTTTCTGAGTACGTCAGTGTGTTTTAGTGATACACTTTGAGAGGCTCCTCTTCAAAAGAATACATAATCAGTTATGTCCTGTTAGAAGGCAGACAGCTGTAGCTAATGTTTAGTGTGTCCCAGACCCTTTAGGTCTATTAGTTCATTTAACTCTTAAAATAACCCTTTGAAGTAGGTACAACTTTTAGCCCCATTTAACAGGTAAAGAGAGGCACAGAGAAGATAACTAAACTGCTCAGTTAATAAGGGACTGAGCTAAGATTTGGATATGGAAGGTTCAATTCCAGCTTGTAATCACCACTGAGCAAGACTTTGGAGCTTTCCAAACCATGTACACATTCTTATGTGCCCTCCATGACATGGGCAAATTATTTGATTTCTCAAAGACCCAGTTTCCTTGTCTGTGAAATAAATAGTATAACATATATAGATATACAAATATATAATATATTGTGTGTATATACATATACGTACGTATATACATACACGCATACATATTATATATATATCCTTGAAGAACTGTTGTAGCAGTAAGATAATATATGTAAAGCAAATGCTCAGAAGATGAAAATCATCATTATTTTGGTTGTGTTATTATTTGCCTATATCGTTAGTATGGTTCTTTTTCTAGTGCCTAATTAGTTTGTGACATTTGGATTCTGTTATTAAAAATGGCTGTAAATTCTAATTCTCCTTTCTAGTTTTGCCAGTAAGGGACACAAATAAACTTTAAGTTCTGAAATAATCTGTTCAGTTATTGATTTTGACTCCTCTAAGATCATTTCTTTTAACTCTCATAGGTGTATGGAGATATCGAGTATTGCAGCATTATTAAGAATAAAGTAACTGGAGAAAGTAAAGGTTTGGGTTATGTTCGATACTTAAAACCATCACAAGCTGCCCAAGCAATAGAAAACTGTGATCGAAGTAAGGATATGTTCATTTAACATATTAAACACTTCTTAAAAACTTTTAATTATTCTAAATAACTGAATTTAACACTTGGTTTTGCTAATAACCATACCTGCTAATTTAATCCTAGCAACGGGAGTTTAAATATATGTATATACCTAAGATGAAAATTATTTTGGGGCTGTGATTAAGTTTTCATTGAGGCACTGTCTTGAAGAGAAATATGAGCAGTTGCATTAACTTAATAAGTGAAAATACTGTTGCCACATTTTGGTTATTATTTCTATAGTAATTTAAGATTTTTAAGTATTAAAAAATTGACTTACCCTTTCAGGCTTTTTTAAAGAATATTTTTTCTTTGTATTAAAAAAATCCCAAATTTTCTGTTATATTTGTTCATGTTTAACCTAAACCTTAAATAGAATTAAGTATATACTAATAAACATAAAGGTTGAAGTTGGGACTTAGTGTAATATTTGCCCACATAGGTAACTAAATATATATTGGGTTAATTTTGAGCTAGAGTGACATTAATTGGATCTTTTGCTGTTGCTGGTATATATAATGAAGAATAAGAATTTTAAAGAAGCCAGGGAAAATATCGTTTGTTGTCATACTCCTGGTTATATTGACCTTGAGAAATGAGGAATAATTAAATTGGTAGGTTTTAGGGTATTATAAAGATCTGTGTGTACTGGAAAGAATTATTGCTAATCAGTAGAATTCTTTTTTTTTAAATTATATTTTATTATGTTACATTAGTCACCATACAATACATCATTAGTTTTTGATGTAGTGATCCACGATTCATTGTTTTCATATAACATCCAGTGCTCCGTGCAGAACGTGCCCTCCTTAAATAACCTTAAGATACACACCAAAATTTCCTCTCAGATCCTTCTGAATTTCTCAGTCAACCAGCATTAATTGAGTACCTATGGTATACTCAGCAATATGTTAAGTAAAAAGATACAAAGGGAATAAATATATAGCTTTTAAGGAATTTAATTATATTGGGTAGCCAAGATCTAATAGACAAAAAATAGTTAAAGAATAATAGAAGAATTTTTAAAAGGCTCTTTGAAAGCAGGGAGTATGTTTTATTTGTCTGTTTCTGTCATTCCTAGTACCTAGTACTGTTAGTTATAGGCCCTCTGTAAGGATTTATTGAGATCTCTATCAAAGATACTGCCATTTTTAATAGACTCAATAAAAATTTGCCAAATGAGAAAATGTTTAAAAATGTGTGGTGTGAAGTGGCCGGTTAGCTCAGTTCGTTAGAGCGTGGTGCTGATAAAAATGTGTGGTGTGGTCCAACAGTGGTGAGAAACAAGTGCACTGAGAGCATGAGAACACCTCTAGAGGTAAGACTGACATCTGGTATAGAGTAGGCAGGAAAGAGGGTGAGAGCAGTTTTAGCAAAGGCACAGAGCTGGGAGTAAACATGTCTTTGCTTAATACTGTGAAGGCAACAGTCTGAAGAAAGCGTAATAATCCTGTTGAGAAATTAGGAGATAAAGTTAACTAAATACATTGGCACCATATATGGGAGGTTATAAACAGTTCAACCTCAGTTAGGATTCCCTTGTAGATTGTTTTAAAAGCAGAAAAATAACTATTAGGACAGTTGATCTAACCACAGTATCAAGGATGGATTTCCAGAGAAAGAATTCAAAGTGACTGGTTTTATCCTTTTAGGAGCCACTGAATAATATGATGAAAGCTATGAACCTTCTCCTTTGAAATATGCCCATATGCACATATACATAAGCATTTTGTTTAAAGTTTCAGAGAGTTCATGGAACCTTCCCACTTTTTGAAGCTCATCTTTGAGCCCCTACTTAAAACCTTTGATCCAGAGGCACAGAGACCACTTAAAGAGTTGTTGTAATTAATTGAAGGGAATCTGACTTAGAAACAAAGGCAAAGAAATTAGAGTAAAAGATAACATCTTGTAAGTGTATTTCAAAGGAAGAATCTTGCTAACAGATTGAATGTGAAGAGCCCTATAGGATTTTGATGTTGAGCCAGGGAGAACGAGCCATGATGTTTTTTGTAATAGCGGGGAGACTGGAAAGGATAGGATAGAATTGCTGATCTTTCATGTCTACATTGACCCCACTTTTTATTTATTCTTTGCCATCTTCCAAAAAGCAAGTAAGTAGGTCTGGTGCAAATGGCCCTTGTGTAGATTTTGTTTTATACAATTACAGTTAAAAGCTAAGCACTAGCAATAAAGTATATTTGCAGGTGTGTTAAATTTGCTATGAAGTTTGAAAGTCATAGATTCTCTTTTTCAGGTTTTAGGGCAATCTTGGCTGAACCTAAAAATAAAGCATCTGAATCCTCGGAACAAGAGTATTATAGTAACATGAGGCAGGAGACATTGGGACATGAACCTAGAGTAAATATGTTTCCATTTGGTGAGTAAGGTATCCTTTATTTTAATAGTATAAGTAGTATATACAATTGGATTTGGATTTCATAAAATATTCTTTAGTCTGTAAACCTCACTTAGTGAATAAAAGTTAGTATGGGGTTTTTTGAGAAGTTTTTCATGACTCCTCATGGTCTTAATATTTAACACTTGTGTAACTAGTATTTAACACTATGTGTAACAGAAAACTATAATTGGAAATTATTATATTATTATACAAATATATATTATTATATTTTATGTATAACAGAAATATAATTATATGTTTATATTATATATAGTTATATATTTCTATGTGTAACAAAAAATAATAATTCCAATTATAGTTTTCTATGGTTAGTTATGTATTATCTAAATATTAAACTACATCACTGCCACTTTTTTTGAGTGAGCTTCTGCCTCTGTGTAGGACCAAAAAGTATGAAAGATCTATCCTGATATCCCCTCAGTGTGAGTCCTAAGATTTTATCCCTAAGGTACTGCTGCTTTAAAATTACGGCTAGAGAAAGGAGAGGAATGACAAAAGTAGAAGTTAGCCAAAGGGAGAAATGAGTCATGAAAGTAAGTCCTGTAAATGTTATTTGGCATAAACTTTCTTTTAGGTGAAACCCGTACCATATTTTGCAGTTTTGCATACTAAACATATTCCTCTGAAGTTAGACTACACATTTCTGCTTATATTTCTGTGTCAAAGGCAGGGGAGTGGGAAGAGTTGTCTGTTTTTTCACCATTGGTCCCTCTGATAGTGCTAATGACCAAGAACATACTACAAAACACAGTGCCTTGGTCCAATGCAATGGACTTAATGACAGCTCATCTTCCTTGTATCTAAAATGTTGACTCTATAGAAATTAAAAGATGTACTTTTTTTTTTATATTGTTGGAGAACAACAATCTGAGTTTTCAAGTTTCGACAAGAATGATAACAGAGGCCAAGAAGCTATCTCCAAACGCCTGTCAGTTGTATCAAGAGTTCCTTTCACTGAAGAGCAGCTTTTCAGTATTTTTGATATAGTACCAGGATTGGAATACTGTGAAGTTCAACGAGATCCCTATTCTAATTATGGTAAAATAATGTCTATTACTTTTTAATATACTGTGTTTTGTTAAAATGTCTTTTCTCCAGTGGCACTTCTTATGTCAGATACTCTTTCTTTGACAACTTTATGTTTTCTTTTTCTCCACTTTAAACTTTCAAATACAATGATACCTTAATAAATAAGCCCCTGAGAATATATCTCCTTTATATAAGTCATTTATTTTTATTTATTTAAAAGATGTTATTTGTTTATTCGACAGAGACATAGCGAGAGAGGGAACACAAGCAGGGGAGTGGGAGAGGGAGAAGCAGGCTTCTCGCTGATCAGGGAGCCCGATGCGGGGCTTGATTCCAGGACCCTGGGACCATGACCTGAGCTGAAGGCAGATGCTTAACGACTGAGCCACCCAGGCACCCCAGGTCATTTGTTTTTAAAGAATATTTTAACTCCCACAATATAGTGTTCTCTCTTTCCAGTTGTACAACCAGAATACCTCAGGATGGGGTCCCTGTACTCCTGATTAATGCTAGGCAAAGTTCTAAAACCCTTAAAGCTCCCTCCTCGTCCCCAAGTGTCTCTCTTTTTTTTGTTGTTTTTTAAACTTTATACCTCAAAATGAAACTCCTTCCCTTCATTTCAAACATCTAATTGCTCTACTTCTCTCTCTACTTCTTCCCAGTCTTAATTATAGCAAGGCTCTGGGGCGCCTGGGTGGCTCAGTCAGTTGAGCGTCTGCCTTTGGTTCAGGTCTTGATCTCAGGGTCCTGAGATTGAGCCCCATGTCGGGCTCCCTGCTAAGTGGAGAGTCTGCTTCTCCCTCTCCCTCTCCCCCCCCACCCCGACTTGTGTTCTCTCTCTCAAATAAATAAATAAGATCTTTTTTAAAAATCTGAAGCAAGGGGCGCCCGGGTGGCTCAGATGGTTAAGCATCTGCCTTCGGCTCGGGTCATGATCCCAGGGTGCTGGGATCGAGCCCCACATCAGGCTCCTGGCTCAGCGGGGAGCCTGCTTCTCCCTCTCCCTCTGCCTCTCTCCCTGCTCATGCTCTCACTCTCTATCTCTGTGTCTCAAATGAATAAATAAAATCTTAAAAAAAAAAAAAAATCTGAAGCAAGGCTCTAATATCAGCCATTTGAACTTATTAACTAGTTAATTGGTTAAACCTAATACCTAGTGTTGGCTTAACCATCTTCATAATTTTTTAAGGTTTTTTTTAAGGCTTTTTGAAAATGGAGTTATTGTGGCATAATGGAAAATGGTTGGCATTCCATTTCACATTAGACTCAAAATGCAAATCCCAGCACTGGCACGTAGCTCTGAGACCTTGGCAGTTTGCTTATCCTTTCTGAATCTCTTTCTTCATCTGTAAAAGGGGATTATTAATACCTTCTATGCCAAGGTTAGATAAGAATTAGAAATGCTGTATGTAAAATACCTAATGCAAGTCCTGGCACATAGTAGGCACTCAGGAAATCTCAGGAGCTTATTGGTTTGTTTAGAGAATTGGAGGGGTGGTATAGAGAAGTCATACTTGGCATCTCTTCTAGTACTATAGATACACTCGATTTAGTCCTTTCCGGGTGTTATGGATGTAAGGGGAAGTAGGAGAGTGAGTCAGGTCATCGGGCTGGCAGGCCTGGAGTGGTACCACTTTTCACACAGACACTTGCACTTACTATTACTCTACCCAGCGCTGGTCTCTTAGCACGACTACCCGTCTGAGCCTACTTTGGACCATCTCCAACCCTAACCCAACCTTAGACTATCATTCTTTATCCTGACTCTAAGGCACACACTTTGTGTTTTTTGGCACATTCATTATTATGTATAATTCTATTTATTTTGTATTTCTTTCCCTTTTATCTGGTATGTTGAAATGTATTTGTTCCTTTACCTTCTATATCGTTTTTCTAGTTGAGTATGTCTGATAAATAAATATATGTGTTATTGGGCACCTTTTTATTAATAGAGGTATCATCATAGAGTTCTATCTGAATTAGTTTTATATGTTCATTTGCTATCTGAATTTTATTTTCATTAAAATGTTGGGGTGCTTGGGTTTAGAAAGGAACATGAAATTATAGCAGTGTTTTCCCCCAAGTGGGTTATATTGCATATATCGGTTATATATTATATTATATTATATTATATTATATTATATTATATTATATTATATGTATGGGTTATATATTACGAAAACTTTTTGGTTGTGTTACAGGCTCATGGGCTGTCCATATGTGGACTCCAGTATAAAATTATCCCCCCACTACAGCATCACCCTCCTGAATTGAAATCTATTTCCTTAGCTGAAAGCTCTCCAAAGAAATGTGAAATATGTGACTTCTAATCTGAGAGCCTCTGTTCCCTACCTTTTCTTTTTCATAAATAGCACTTTTCCTTTCTCTAGCACTGCAGCAAGCCTGATGACTGTATGCTTTTATCAGGCTATATATTCTCCTCATTTCATTTCCTACTCAGTATGATAGGGAAAATTTTAAAATTTCAAAGCAGATTTCAAAGAATAAAAATGTAAGAAAAACTGTTTGGCTTTAGGTATATCTATCATATAAGAAACACCAATATCCTAAAATTAAATTCATTGGACAGAACTTACTCTAATAATTACACATTTTCCTTAAAATATCATGTTTATATTTTTGCCAAAATCTGGTTTAGACTTTGTAGGAACATAGCTGTTGCACATATGTATAAGAAAACTTTGTTTTCTGACCCATTTGACTCTGTGTTAACTAGTTATGTGATTACAGGCCATTTCTATATTGTTTGATTTTGTGGCAAGACAGGCTTTGGTACCTTGTGTTCTTTTTAACTCCTGATATTCTCTACTTTGTTTTAGGTCATGGAGTGGTTCAGTATTTCAATGTAGCATCAGCTATTTATGCAAAATACAAGTTACATGGGTTTCAGTACCCTCCTGGGAATCGGATAGGTGTTTCCTTCATTGATGATGGGAGTAACGCAACAGAGTAAGTACTATCTCAGGAGGGTTTACAGCAGGGCTTTGGGTATACATGATGTGACTTGAAGAATAAGAAGAGAAAGCAGTTGACCTCTTGGGTGAGGAAGTCACACAAAATAAGTTACAGGTCAGAGACTGAATATTTCTAGTTTTCTGTAAATTATCAGTTCTTATCTTTAGTCTTCTCAGAAAAATGGCAACGCAGATGGTAGCAGCACAGCTTGCATCAATGGTGTGGAATAACCCAAGTCAGCAGCAATTTCTGGTAAGTAGGTAAGAATTTAACCTCTATCATACATCAGTAGGCTATAAAATAAATGTGGCCTTTGTTTATTACCTATGTAAGAAAATTTTCAGAGCTACAGTACAAGATCACATAGAAGTCATGATATAGATCTCTTTAGCTCTTGGCTTAAAATCCTTAAAGTGCAGTTTTTCTTATTTTGTACCTAACTCTTCAACAGCAATTTGGAGGAAATTCTGGATCACAGTTGCCTCAAATCCAGACAGACGTTGTACTTCCATCGTGCAAAAAAAAAGCCCCTCCTGAAACTCCTGTGAAAGAAAGACTTTTTATCGTGTTTAATCCTCATCCTTTACCTTTAGATGTATTAGAGGATATATTCTGGTAAGATTTCAATTCCACGAAGTTACGTTTATAATATAATTGATTTAAACCAGTCATTTAAGCCCTCTCACAAACTTGAAACTTCCTATATCTAATACTTATCAGATAGAAATGATTTGCTCTGTAGTTTAAAAAATTCCTTATTTCTATCACCTTTTAAAATATATGATCATTTCTTTCTCTTCTTTATTATTTATACATCTTAATTCTCCACACAGAATTTCCTGTTACTTTGTTTTGAAGACATAAAACAGTATTGTTTTGGGGCGCTTGGGTGGCTCAGTCTTTAAGCGTCTGCCTTCGGCTCAGGTCATGATGCCAGGGGCCTGGGATCGAGCCCCGCATCGGGCTCCCTGCTCGAAGCCTGTTTCTCCCTCTCCCGCTCCCCTTGCTTGTGTTCCCTCTCTCGCTGTCTCTCTCTGTCTGTCAAATAAATAAAATCCTTAAAAAAAAACAAAACAGTATTGTTTTGAAAAATTGCATGCATAAAATGGACAAATCATTTGTTTCTTGATAGAAAATACATCTGTGTCGACCTTTCCTCTAGAATTCTTTTTATATAACTTTTCCTTAATGATTGTAATACAGCTGAACAGAGTAGCATTTTCTATTTTGTCAGCACTCTGTTGGATCTTTAAGGATTATATTGAGTAAACAATTACTTGATTGTAAGGAAGAGTACATAATAAGTGTAGAAAAAGGAAGGCTCTTGTTTATTTTTGTGTTTTTAATAGAACTCCTTTAATCTTAACTTTTTTCTTTTTGGTCTTTTTCCTATTTGCCTTATAACAGGGTTAGCAAAGGAAAAAAAAATAAGCTCATTGAAGAGCTGCACAGAACATCAGTAGTTCGAATATTTTGACTTATTTAACTGATTCATGTAGTTTATTTCTTGAACATTTCCTTTGCGCCAGGCAGTCATCATGCTAAGTGCAAGAGACATTGTGTAAACAAAAGATATGATGTAAATAAGACATAATAGTTCTTGTCCTCTGAGAGCTAATCTCATGTAGGAGACAAGCAAGTGAATAGGATACTACAACCTAGTGAGGTTGGTGTTGTGAAAAGGAATGTCCAGGCTATGAAATACATAAGGGGAGCATCTATTTCTGAAGTTCTAAGAAGCAATGTATAATGGAGACCTGACAGATAAAAGTAACTTAGCTAGAGAAGAAAGGATTTGGGGGGCAGGGGTGGTTATTTCTGCAAGAGAGAATGTGAAAGGAGATGGTTAGAGTATGGAATTTGAGAGACTGGGAGGGAGGGTGAAGTGGGAGAGGACAAGGCCTATGTCACGAAAGACCCACAAGCTATGTTAGGGAGTTTGTCTTCACCCTGGATGGGATTTTTAAGGAGGAAATGATCAAATCTCTGTTTTAGAAAGATCGCTAGAAAGACAGGGTAGAAAATAGATTAGAGGGACAAGCCCAAAGGGCAGGGAAACAAGTGAGGAAGGTATTAGAGCATTCCAAGGAAAAGATAATGACCAGCTGAATGAGGAAAGAGACCTGAGTGAGAATGAAGAGAACTTGACTAATAGAGCACGTGTTTGAAAAGGAAGATTGACTTGAAGATTGGATGTGGGGAGAGGAATGGAAGAGGAGTCCAGAATGGACCCCAATTTTTGGACCTAAACAGTTGTATTTTTATCAATTTCATTTGATTTTTTTTTTTTTTTAACTTTGTTTCAGTCGTTTTGGTAACCTGATCGAAGTTTACCTCGTGTCAGGAAAAAACGTGGGGTATGCCAAGTATGCAGATCGAATAAGCGCCAATGATGCCATTACTACTTTACATGGAAAGATCCTAAATGGAGTCAGACTTAAAGTTATGCTGGCGGATTCCCCAAGAGAAGAATCTAACAAACGACAAAGAACTTACTGATTCTTGAGGTAAGCCCTTTTTAGTCTGAATTTTAAAAACACGTTGGCTAAATATTATAGCAAGAGGAATATGTATAGAGTTTCTTTTTAGGGATTTGGAAGCTGTCAGTTAAAAGCATTGTGACTTAGTGCTTGGCTAGTAAAACCAAAGGTTGGGTTAATTTCACAATATATTTTTTTAAACTTGAACTTTTTAAACTTAAATGTTTTCAGTGTTTACTGGGAGAATGTTTTTGCCCTTCTACAAAATAAAATCAGATTTCAATGTAGAAAGTTAAAGTGGGTTTTTTTGTTTGTGAATGTTTTAATATTAAGAATTTAATTTTTTACCATATGTTTAACTTTAAAATTGAAATAGTGCTAAAGATTTTTAATTTAGAGGATTAATGTCAATGTCTTGAGTTACAACTTAAGGTAATTTGTAATAACCTTTATAAAGAGTGTTTTGACATCTCACTAGTGAAATGCCTAAAAAGCAATATCAAATAATACGTCTTTTTGGACCTTTTGAACCTAGATGTTTTTCTCTGGACTTGTATTTGTGAGTTTGTGCATTAAAACCAGACATTTGAAAAGTATTCTCATGTGTATATATGTATTAAAAAAGGAACCCTGCCAATTTACCAAAAACTCTTGTCTATTATAATGATACATACAGCCATATGAATTTCTTTTTCTTTTAGTTTTCAGAGATCAAACTTATATTTCTTTTTCTGTGATAGTCAACACATATCTCCATGGCTTAGGGAAACATTCTTTAAAGTAGAAATGTTCAACTCTTTCACTTTTTTTATTCTGGAAATGAATTCTGAGTTTCAGGGGTAGCTGAGAGTTTCCCTGTTCCCACACACACCAGCTTCCCAAGTCCACTGCTGGTCAAATGGTAGCAGTTGGCAAGTACTTTAGATTGACTTGGAAGTTACTGACTTGAAAGCAAATTTCTTTTACCTCCGTTTTCTTTCTGACCAATTATGGCGACTAGCAGGTATCAGAGTGAATTGTCTCAATCCTTACTGCTGATGACCTTTTTTCTAATAGAGCAAGTCAGGTGATTAGTTCCTCCTTCCTAGAAGGCAGTTGGCAATAGGAAATGCCCGTTGGGCCCATTATGAATAATCCTAATTTAAAACTGTCTTGCAATGTTTTATTTAATTACAAAATTCATTCCCATTACCCAATACAATGTAAAAATATTAAAATGCCAGTGAAAAAGAATTAGCAAGTCCTTCTTAAAACAAAACTGTTTACATTTACAAATAAAATGTTAAGACCTGAATTCTGGTTAGACAAGCTATCTTCTAAAATAGCACACAAAAATGTGTTTGTGTCTGAATATTTTAATATATAGCTAACAATTCTTTTATTCAAAGAATCTTTGTCCTTAAAAAAGGACAGTAATACTAAGTTCTTAATATGGGGAAAATATATGAATTACTCTTGTGGTTGAGCCTTTCCTAGTGATTATTTGTATAGTATAAAAATATTAAAAATCAGAAGATCTGGCTTGGAATTCTAATTCCGACGTTTAACTGACTTGATTGGGCAGATCTCTTCACCTTTCTGAGGCTGATTTTTTTAATAGGGTTATTGAGAGAAAATTCATCAGCAGAATTCCTTATAAAATATAATAATGTTTTGCAAGTGTGAGCTAAAACTTGCCTTGGTGATTTCAGTGAATCTTTGACATATCATCTTACCAGAATGGTCAGAAACTAAAAGTGTAATGATACAAAATGTGGCCAGCTGCTGCTGTGCGAATGAAGCTTTATAATACCACGTTTTCCCTGTAAAAGTGATGTACATTTATCCCGTTCCCTACATCAGAGGAAGTACCTATTCTTCAGCATGACTATTCATAAAATATAAATCTATCCTTTTTCCCTTTATTGAACCATTGTACCTATTCAGAGCAAAGATAAAGTAGGTTCAGGTTAGCTAAAAATGGTAGGACATAATCAGCTGTATTGGTTTTGAATGTCTTAAAAGTTGCAGCACGTTTTTTAAATTTATTTTTGCGGTAGATTTTCTGTTTACTGTGGACTCCATGAGATTCTCCTCCTTTGTTGGTATATTAAATAAATGTATTATTTTAAGGTTCAATAAAATAATATGAAAGAGTTTCCCAAATTTTACAGATTACAGCAGGTGAATTTCTTTGGGAGGGGGAGCATTTTTTTTATTTGTTCCCTTGATTTCAAGGGACAAGCACCACTCATAAAGGCTGGTTCCTTTTGTCTCTGAGAAATAGGCCTAGGATTAGGTGAGCTACACCTATGAAATAGGAAAAGAAACTGGTCTAAGAATATAACTTTGAAAGTAATTGAGTTCTATTTTGAACTGGGTTTAATGTACAAAATATGTTTCTCTTTCTATTTGAGGAAAATAAAAATTTTAGTATTTCAGAGCATCCTGATTTTGCATTAATTCACAGCATTTTCCCTTCAGAAATTCAGTACCTGCTTGCATCGTCCTTCTGAGTAAGTTTGGTTTTGCTTATTTGGGGACATCTGTGATTAAGTAAGCAGATAACATTGGTTATTTTGAAATAAAAGAAATTCCTAACATTTTAGGAATACTAAATACAATAGCTATTTCCTTTCAGGTGATGATTTTCATACTTCTGTTGTGTTCTTTCTACAGAACAAAGACTAAATAATGACATAATCCTCAGCTGACTGACTGAAAATGTGACTGGACGCACTCCCTGTGGACAGTTGACCGCTTTTTTTTCATATACCTGATAGTCTGTGCACAACATTGTTTTGTCTGGGGAGCACGGATTGTTGACATGTATTTTTGAATTCACACTTCAGTGCTAAAACTAATATAATAGTTGTTTCTTAGAGCAATATGTTGTTATATGTAGCAGAAATAAAGTTTTCTTTGCTTGACTAAATCATGCCTTATTTATGTGAAAGAAGAGAATAAAACATATAACAGTGTTTAGAATTTGACAAAATGACATATTTCATTGATTTTGAGATGCACATTTTTTCACATTTTTATATTTCTGAAATTGGACACATCTTGATATCAATTGTGTGCCATACTGTAATTGACAACCTGTTTTTATTCCTTAATAGAACAGAAACAGAGGTGCTTCCTTCAGTCAGTTGCATCTGAGATTCAATAAAATATGGTAATTGCTGCTCAACCTACACATGCAGATTGGCTACATACTTACACTTAATCTGAGGCAAGAGCCAAAAGACATATCAGAAATATTTTATACTGTATTTTTATAGTTATGCCAAAATTTGTTGGTAATTTTATAAAGATCTTTGAAGATTATAGAGCAATGGTAATAAAAAAAAAGAGTTTTAGGTTATTATTGACAATAAGTTTAAATAAATGTTAGTGGCTTTGCAGGAGGGTGGACATTTTCCCTTATAAACACAAGATATAATGGCCACTGTAAAAACGTTACACGTAAGTAACTTTAGAACAGACTATGATAGAAAGAATAGTCATTCCAAAAAAGGATTAAAAATTAGGACCCTACTCTGCTTGTATTTTGAAAATCCAAGAAAAATTTTTAGCTGCTCTTAAGGTGAATAATATGTATCAAAAAAGGTATATCTAAGTCAGAAACTCAGCATCTTAAAGAAAGATAGAAAGATACTATAAATGGTATGCAGTTATTAAAACCACTGAATTACCTCCTCAATATGCTTCTCACATTCTGAGTTAAACTAAAAATAATGAAAGATTAAATTCACTGAGCATAATAGAGTATTGCAGTTTGACATCCCTCCATTGAAAAATTGAAATCCTTTTTTTGAATCAGTAATTTTAATAAATTTAGATAAGAAAATTTCCAATCTCATCTTCCCAGGCAGGACTTACTGAGAATGGAATCTTTGTGAACCAAAGGGCATATTTTGAAAGGAAAGTAAATGCTCTCGTTCGAAATGAAAAAAAAAAAAAAAAACCTAAGTGAGGAGATGAGGATTAATTACCAACAGGTAGACTTATTCATCCTGAACTCATTTACTGTGCACATAGTTCCATTTTTCACGGATTGAAACCAGATTGTGTCCTACAGGTTATCAGACTCTACCACTCAGTTAATACTTGAATTCCCCCAGAAATAATATCTGGCAGCTGGTTAATCTAAACACTATAAAAGTAGGGAAGGCATTCTCTTAACTCATACCTGAGTCCATTGCATCTTCGATTAATCCTCATAATTAACAAAAGTTGATTCCCCACAATTTTCACCTTATTAGTCTTTAAGTTTTTCACTGGGCCATATGATGGCTTTCTTTCTTTTTATTTTATTTTATTTTATTTTATTTTATTTATTTATTTGACAGAGAGGGAGAGACAACGAGAGAGGGAACACAAGCAGGGGGAGTGGGAGAGGGAGAAGCAGGCTTCCCGCAGAGTAGGGAGCCTGATGCGGGTCTCGATCCCAGGACCCTGGGATCATGACCTGAGCCGAAGGCAGACGCTTAACGACTGAGCCACCCAGGCGCCCCGATAGCTTTCATATACCCTCCTGACCTCCAAATTTTCTATTTGGATGAAATAATCCCAATTTCTGCATTCCGCATTTAAAGTCAGGGAGCCAGTTTCAGCAACCAGTTGTGGTTTCAGTAAGGTGTCTTCTGTAGATTTAGTTCCTTGATTCTTTCATATAAATTCTAAAGAGATTTGTAGCATAGTTCTCTGCCTGCGAAACACTGCTTTTACACTGCAACCTTCTGTTGCATTTTCCAGCTGCATGTCTCAGTTGTCCCTTGTAGTTGAGCCCTAAAAGTTTATTTTTTAAAAGCCAGAGTGCCACATTTTTCTTAAAACGAGGAGGTTCTAAAACCTAAGAAATAGCGTTTAATAATCTAGTGCTCATGTCGTCACTTAGATGTTTACTCTTCAAATGCACTTTGGGTATAAGAACATGATATATAGATACTTAGATGCTCTGCATATGTCAGTTACTAAAATTGCCAACAAAGGGGTTTTTATTAGGTGTGTACTTCATTAACTTAAAAAAAAATTAAGCAATTCAGATCAATAAACTTCTCTTTCAAATATGTGGTTCAAATATAAATAGCATCTAAAATAAAGCCTGATCAAAACTTTCTTGTAAATTCATTGTCAGGTCTTTTATGGTAGATTATAGATGCTGAAAGCAGGTATCAGATTTGCTGTTTCTAGAGCATCATGTCCTAAGCTATGTTCCTTGAAATACTAGTGTCTTGAGAGAATTCATTAAGTGTTCTTTAGGGAAGTTTTCATGGTCAAAGATACTTAGAAAATGTTTGGTTCTTATTGCACAGATTATTTTGACCATGAACCTTCTCAGAGCCTTTAATATGCTAATATATATCATCCCTGTATCTCCAAAAGAAGACCATGGTTTGCACTGGGAAATGTGTTTTTAGAGGCACACTACTAACAGGCCACTGATACTACAACGAATGTATTTTAGGAAAGATTCTTCTGCAGTATATACTGTTTTTATTCAATGGTAGTGGTGTGGTTTTATTTAGAAGTTTATTTTTTATGCTTTTTTATCTCACCATAGGTAAAAAGTTAATGCAAAATACTAAGGAAATTATTACTCTAAAATTTTCATGTTCTCTGAATGTTATTCTCTTTTAATTGGGACCTACATGATATCAATGAACAGAAAGAAAATAGAAATAAGAGATTTTACCACTAGGTGGTGATAAACATTGCCACTCAGAAACAGTGAAGTGCAGCATTCCAGTTTTATTTAAAGCATTGAGCATGAAATGACAGGATTTGTATTGTCTAAAGCAGTGGTTTTAAACTTTAGTGTCCACAAGAATCACCTCAGGTATTTGTTTAAAATACAGGTACACTGAATTGCAAATTTGGGGCTGAGTTTCTCAATAAGCTCCCTAAGTGATTTGTTAGGGTAGTGAATAGCATTGACTTTGTAGTATATTGGCCTTAAGAGATTCTATATGTTGGACCTTAAATTGGACTATTGTAAAAATAAGACATTGAGAAGTTTCTGAGTCTTTTTACCTTAAGCATTTTTTAGAATTTAGCATCTGCTTTAATTTAATATCAGTAAATATGAATTACAATAAGAAATTGAAAAACACAAGCAGCCTTAGAGATAAAGCAAGATGTCAGGCCAGCTTTTTTATGTTAGCAAATACTTGTTTATGTTTGTATAGGATGGTAGTTATTTGCTTTTGCCATTCAAAGCTTCTATCTTAATTCATTTTTTATTTACATTTATTTTGAAGTAAATTATTTTAATGAATTATCATCAAAGATTTTGTCTCTAAATAAGTATATAGATGTATCATTCTTTTTAAATGGACAAAGGAACATGAAGGTGATATAATTATCATCAGTGTTTAAAAACTGAAATAGAATAATCACGGGAGAACAGAAATACGCATGTATGTATCTGAGTATTTTTACAGTCCTAAAGTGAATCTTCTTACAAAGTGAATGCTTTTTTTGATGTACTCACAAATCTGTTCATTTATAGGTACAGTTTAATTTTCAGTAACTTCTTAATTATATGCCTAAAACTCAGTGAGGTCAAGAACAAATGAAATACATATATATATGGCCTTTTCATTCAGGGGTATAGCCATATGCAAATTTTATTCCATATGTGGATAGTAAGCTCTATTAAAATCATAGCAACTATTTTTACATATGACTTCAGTAAAGAGAGAAAACATAAAGGTCATCCTTACTAGATAAGAAGTTTCATTTTAATATCTGAATTCTAATAAATGGATTGCATTATTTCCTTTTCTAGAAACAGTAACTCAAGGACACATGGATCCTGGGAACTGAAGGTATGGTATTACTAGGGAATCAGCTAGAAATATTTAGTTAACATATGAAGTTGGAGTTCGTTCATTATCATGACCACGTTTTGACCATATTTAAGGTAGAAAAGACTTGTCCTCAGTAGAATATGGAGGTCCCTGATCTTATACTTTGAGAAAGTTACCAGGCCCTATGAAAATCCATTTGAGTGGTTATCTGTCGCAGGAAAGAGAGTCCTCTGACTGTCTTAGATGAATTGCAGTCACTATCCAGATGTCAGGACCCATGGGAACCAGCTCAGCTGCAAGCTGACTAAGGCCACAAGCACTGTGGTACCCTGGAGACGGCCTTCCTGACAGTGCTGCTGCAGAAGTGGTGGAGGGAGGGCACCAGGAGACTGTTGGAGGAAAATCATTTTTGTATTTGAAGTACAAAAATCAAGTACAGTTCTCTATAGAAATGGGGAAAATGTTGAGCAGAATAGGACAACCAAAGTGCTTACTCACAGATACTCCTATGAATCTGCACTCTTTTAATTTTCCTGCCGGTACTCCGTTTCTGATTTTGTAGGTGAATGCTGTTGCTGCTGACTGATTTTCTTGCTCATATATTACCATCATTTTTCAGCATTAGTAATACACAGGTCACAGCATTCATTAGCACAGAGTTCTTAGAGGGTTTCTGGGCTTGGTTGTTCTGTTCGGTTTTGTGTGGTTTTTTAATGCTAAAAGGAAAATTAAAGTCATCTAATTAAAGTCATCCTCATTTGCTGGAAGATTTGATACACAAAAATACATCATTTAATTTTTTTCCCTTTCATCCTTGACAAAGTTGTTATATTGGGCTTTGGCACTAGAAAATAGTTTTTACATTCTTAAATTATTGATCCTTTGGCACAAGAGACTTCCTTCCTCTTCCACATTAGTACATTAGTAATAAGAATGTGACACTTGGGGGACAGTGTAGAAGGAGATTGTGATCTGTGACTGATAGGACTGACTTTAGGAAGAATCTGCAGTGGTTGCTGAAAACTGAAACTGGCTGACTTGCATTGGCAAGGCCAAAATTGGACCAACAATGACAAAAAAAAAAAAATACTTGCAGAAATAGCACTCATCTTGGTTTAACCATCACAAACTCCTACTAGGGCCCATCTACCAGTTAGGTACTACCTTGGCTTAATCCTTCCACCAGAAACTCCTAGCAGGGCTCATTTCCTTCCACTTTTACCCTGAATCTGGGAATCCTAGGCACTGTCACATAGTCTCATCTTTCACCCAGCCCAGTCTTATTTCACTACTGTAACTCAAAGAAAGTATGCGAGAGGAAAGAATGAAAGTAGATTTCCTTTATATCATCCTGAAAGATGAGCAATATACTTATACTTAATAGCTTTCAGTTACTTGTCATATAGGAATGTATCATGTCTTGAGATCTTACTGATGGTTAACCTTCAGTTTCCCCAAGAGCAAGTTTCATACATGATACCAACATTGCCTTTTTGGACCTGTTTTCTCATCTAGAAAATAAAAGCGATAATAAAGGCAGTATAAATACAAACACCTGCAACAGTCCTATGACAGTTTTCTGCAAAAATACCCATGAAACATTGAAATAAAAAAAGTTAATGTTATTCATAGAAACTTAGGTAAGAATAATGGAAACTAGAAGGAATTTTTGCTAGGTAAAGCCTTACATAAGGGATAGATTTTTATAAATGGCTGACTCAAATTCCATGTCAAAATAACTTGTTAGTAAAGCAAGATGACACCTTAGCCTCCCATCATCTAACAGTGCTTAGTACCCTATGTATAAGAAAGCTGTACTAATCACTTGAGGCAACTATTGAGAGTCCCATCAGAAGAGGCTTTCTGGATTCTTAACCAGTGGCACTGAAGGTGTACTATCCTGGAGCTTTTCCTTAACCAAGTGGGCCACAGCTGATATACACTTAAGGGTAGGGGGGTGGTAGTCGTAAAAGGGAAGAGTAATGACAAGAGCAGCAAAGTGACCCAAAAAGATCTCTTAGCCTCTACCTATGACCAGATTTAGAATACTTAGAGCAAGATTCTTTAAAAAAAAAAAAAGTGTTCTTTCTAGCCATCTTTCCTAAGAATTTTGGTCTTATTGCAAGGAAATTCATTATCATCTGTGCTAAGCCTACATCTGATGGACTTCCTTGGGTTTACTGGAGGAATGAAATGGGTTTAACATTTCTGACTACCTGCTGGATCATCATCAGCACTTGAGTGGACTGAAAAAGAGCTGAAAGCAGTCCTCAGTGTCTGCCAGTTCTGCAGCTGGCCCTGCTAAATCTGTCCTCACTGAGAAATGAATAACTAAATGGACGAGATTTGAACAAGCATTTCACAAAGGAGGCCAGGAAGGAATCACAGTTCCGTTTTTTTGTGTTTGTGTTTTAGTTTTGGGGCAGAGGAAGGGAGAATTGGGTAAATTCCTTATTTTTTTAAGAAACATTAAAACATTCTCTTTTTTACTTTGACAGATTATGTAAGTTTAAGAATAATTTTTAAATCTATTAAATGTTCAGCCATATTAGTCATCAAGGAAATGCACGTTAAAACTCTAGTAAGATACCCTTACACTGTTAAGAACAGCAAAAATTAAAATATTGACAGTACCAAGTGTTGGTGAGAATGGGGAGCAACAGGAACTCCCGTGAACTGCTGGCAGTAGGGTAAATTGGCCCAACCACTTTGGAAATGTTTGACAAATACTGACTAACGTTGAAACATACATCTACCCTCAACTCAGTAATTCCACTTCTAAGCAAGTATCCAACAGAGATAAGAACACATGCATACAAAAATATATAGAGAAGTATATTCTTAGCATTATTCATAATAACCTCGAAGTGGAAACAACTCGTGTCAACAGAATGCATAGAGTGAGATGCTGCTCTGTAAAAAGGACATGAGCTAACTTGCTACATGTGATAATTTGGATGAATGTTATAAACATGATGATAAAAGAAACAAGCCAACAAGAAATGTGCTGTATGATTCCCAGTATAAAACAGTTCAAAAACAAGCAAAATACACCTTTAGGCAGAATGGAGTGGGGAGAAGTCAGAAATGGGGCTGATGGTGTGCTAGTGATCTTGTCTTTCTTCACTAGCATAGTGATAACTTTTTGAGCTATACTCTTAATGGTTTATGCATTTTTAAAAATTTATCTTACACTTCAATTAAAGGTTTTTTTCTTAATGAATTCAGCAAAATCAGCATGAGGCTAATGGGACAGACAATTCTGCAGTATGAGAGAAAAACAATATCTTGAGGCTTTTGGAAAAAGGGCTTTGTTTTTCCAGTGCATGTATAGCAGGAAATATTAGAAAATATCTGCCTCAGCTCCCATCCTGGTGCAGCAGAGCATTATGATGATGAGGGCAGAAGAGTAAGAGAGTGGGAAAAGAAAGGGAGAAGCCAAATTAAAATTTGTGTCAGAAACAATAGATAGTCCTAGTGCTAAAGAAAATCTAGCCCCAAATGAAGAAAGGTGAATATCAAACTGGTTTTCAGAAATCTGCAGGGTCTCCTGAGCCAACAAAAGGAAGATGTTCAACCAGATCAGAGCTGCCTTCCTCAGTGTTCTATATTGTGTGTAATAAGCTTCCCTTTAAGGGATTCTGCAGCTTAAAGATGTTACAATAAACCAAAGCACCAGAGTAAAAGATAAACTTTAAAAAGCACCTTCAGATAAATTTAGTGAGAGAAAAGGTACAGATTTAAAAGGCTGACTACAAAGATTTATTCTTTGAATAATAGGTGTTCCCAAAGAAAATAAGAACAAATTAAACAATAAATAGTTTTAATAGGAGAATCCTTGATCTAAGAAAAGGCTCAAGTCTAAATGAAGATCCTCTTTTTACACATTAAATGCCAGCTGGGATGGAGCAGAGTTTTGTAGTTTAGGATTTCTCCAATCAAACACATGTGACTGTAACAGAAAAACATTCTGTGATATGCAACACACACTACTTAACTTGCCCTTTATGGAAAAAATTACTTGAATATAATCACTACATTACCAAAATGAACCAAAATTAGGAAGAAAAGAATGAGGAAAGAAAGTATTGAAATCAATAAAACTATTAGGATAATGCAAATAATTTAAAACAGATTTATTAAATGATTTATCTCAAAAAAATTTTTTTTAAAGATTATTTATTTGACAGAGACAACGCGAGAGAAGGAACACAAGTAGGGGGAGTGGGAGAGGGAGAAGCAGGCTTTCCACTGAGCAGGGAGCCCGATGCGGGGCCTGATCCCAGGACCCTGGGATCATGACCTGAGCCGAAGGCAGACGCGCTTAACGACTGAGCCACCCAGGCACCCCTTATCTCAAAAAATTTAAATAGGGTTTAATAACCCCAGATTAACTTAATGAAGGCCAGGAAGAGATCACAGTTTCTTTTTTAGGATGTGAAATGAGGGGTAAAATCCTATCTCCTGTTAAAAAAATAAAAATAAAACTTTTTTACTTTGAAAATTAAATGTAAATTTAAGAATTTTTTGAGGGGTGCCTGGGTGGCTCCTTTGGTTAAGCACCCAATTCGCTCTCAAGTCTTGATCTCAGGATTGTGAGTTTAAGCCCCATGTTGGTCCCATGCTGGGCATGGAGCCTACTTAAAAAAGAGAAGAAGAATCTTTTGAAATCTGTTAAGGTGAGTAATAATAAAATTAATAACAGAATGTTTCCTGTCCAAATCCTTGAAAAAGATAAAAAAGGAATCGCATATTTGACAGAAGTCGAAAGAAATAAGAATAGCAATTATGACCAAGACTGTTTAAATTGTTTAAAGTCTAAAAACAGAATGAAATGATTTGCTTCTTCCATAAGACTTACCTTTAATCAAATTCTGTCACATACGCCTAATACTAAAGTATTTCAGAGTACAATTAGAGAAAGTATAAATAGCATATTCACTACATAAAATTACAATTTGTAGTGAAGACAACAAACCCTAGAGTTTATATGCAGAATACTATAGGATTAAAATGGAGAAATACAAAGGCCTTTAAAATAGTGTAGAGGGGCTCCTGGGTGGCTCAGTTGGTTGGGCCTCTGCCTTCAGCTCAGGTCATGATCCCAGGGTTCTGGGATGGAGCCCTGCATTGGGCTCCCTGCTTAGCAGGGAGTCTGCCTCTCTCCTCTGCTCATGCTCTCTCTCTCGAATAAAATCTTTTAAAATAAATAAATAGTGTGGAGATTATGGTGGAGACCTTAACATGTATTCTGTGAACTATCATAAGACAAACCAAGTAGAAGGGAGATAAAAACGGAAAAAAAATACAAATTTTTCTCAAATGGAATAGTTTACAAATCAATCAGATAGCAATATTGAATAATAGGCAGCTTAGGGGACCCAGAAACATCTCTTAACTTCTACACATCAGCTGATTTAGAGTATTTACAGCAAGATTCAAAACAACCCTCAAACTTGTTCTAAACTTTGTTTGGCCTCTTTGCCCTAAAGGCAAATTGCAAGGAAATCACTTCTCTTCCAAACCTGGACCCTCTGGGCCTCAGCTTCCTGGAGGAATGAAATGGCTCAGCATTTGGTGCTCACCTGCTGGACGTTCCGTCAGCATCTGAGCAGACTGTAAAGAACTGAAAGCAATCCTTGCAGCCTGATAATTCCCCTGAAGTGCATTTTACAGGGTAGAAGTTGTACAGGCTGTGTTCTTTGATCACAAGGTAATAAAACCAGATAATAAAAGCATAATCACCTGGAAAATAATTTTAAAGCCCTCTTCTAAATAGCTATTCTATCAAAAAATACAATGAAATAGAGTGAAAACAAAATGGCAAAAAAGTAGAGGAGGATATTTTTAAAGCTATGCTAAAGGGCAAATTGATAGCCATTGTTGCATAGAGGGGAAATGAATGAATTAAACATGTAACACTAGAAACAAAAGTAACAATAACGATAAGACTAATAAATAAATTAGAAAAAAGTAAAAAGGCACCCTAGCAAATGCATTTTTTAAAAATTCAAAATCAGAGGGGCGCCTGGGTGGCTCAGTTGTTAAGCGTCTGCCTTCGGCTCAGGTCATGATCCCAGGATCCTGGGATCGAGCCCCGCATCGGGCTCCCTGCTCAGCGGGAAGCCTGCTTCTCCCTCTCCCACTCCCCCTGCTTGTGTTCCTGTTCTCGCTGTCTCTCTCTGTCATATAAATAAATAAAATCTTTAAAAAAAAATAAAAAATAAATAAAAATTCAAAATCAGAAATAACAAAGATATGAAAAAACGGAGGAGACTTAAGTGCCATCCTCAATTATGTATTTTGATTAAAACATTTGTTATAAAATATTAAGTATACTAGTTTAGAATATCCAATCAACAAGAATTAGAAATCCTGAGCAGGTCAATAACCAAAGAAGAAATTCAGGCAGTTATCCGTGAATTGTAGATCCTTAAATGGGCCCTGATCACTTTATCCATTCTTCCAGACTTGAGAAGCACATTATTCCTCTGGTTTTTAAGTTTTTCCATGCAGCCTGGAAAAGGTGAGTACACACATCCATTTTGCATAAATAACATTACCCTGATACCAAAACTTAAAAGGCAGTTAAAATGAAAGCTATATATTCTTAGTTTGCCCATGAATATGGATGTAAACAAATCTAAATAAGGTATTAGAAAGTGCAAATAATATGTTCAAAGAACAATTCACCATGCCTAGTAGGGGGCTTATCCTTTGATGAAAGAGCAATTCACATGAAGAAAAATTATTACTATAATACTTAATCTTCATAGGACCATAATGAGATCTGCAAGTTGATTACTTACCCATTCTTGTGATTGTGCAAATGCCATGGACAGTTAGATTATATTTGGTTTCCTTGAAACAGTCACTAGCTGGAGAAATGGGATTAGCCTGACATCTGTAAGTGAAGCAATGTCTAACTCTCCTCTCTAACTACATGATTGCTATATAATGGAGACACAAAGTATGGATAGATATCAGGAGAGAACCAAAATGTCTAAAACAGCTTCTTAGAAAAATAGCTCAATTTATTGAGCCCTTACTATTTGCCAGGCATTAGGCTAATTGCTTTACATCTCAAAACCTATGAAGTATTGTTCTTGTTTTATCAAAAGGAAGCTAAGGTGCTCTGAGAGATGAAGTAATTTGCCCAAGATTACACAGCCAGCAAAGGGGGAAGCTGCGCTTTGGACACAGTCTTCACTGAAACCCATATTCTTAACCAGTACACTAAATATCAACAGCTGTAACAAATAATTCAGAAACTACCATACGCACCAATTGAATGTTTACAACAACAGGTCCTTCCAGAACTATGGGATAGCATGGGAATAATGCTTACTATTTAGTGAAGGCAAACAGTATACAAAATTGCATATAGTGTGGTTTATAAATATTTAAGTTAGAGTGAGTTTGAAATGAAGCCAATGTGTGTGTGCTTTTCACCATTTTCCATTTTTCCTTGGTGAACATGTATAATTTTTAAAAATCTAAAAAATACACTATCCCCTGCAAGACTGAAAGCTTTCTGTAAGTAAAGCCTGTTTATTTTTGTAACCTGCAACCCAGCTATGCACTTTACACATAATGGGCACAAAATGGTTATCTATTTGGATTACAACATAAAGGGTCCTATATATGTCTCTTACTACAGAGATGCTGTAAACAAATCTACATTTTCTATAAATATCCTAGTGATTGTTCAGATGCCATTTTTTCAAATTGAGACCCTACTTACTAGGCTGATTCTTAAAGATTCTAATTTCAATTTCAATTTTATGTTTCTGGTGTTTTTATAAATGTATTAGTGGCTGAGTCACAGTCCACATGCAAATCTTGGTGATATTTTAAAATAATAGATAACATTTATTGAACTCTTGCTAAGTCAATACTGTCATAGGCACTTTAAGACATTTTCCCATTTAGCAGCCCCAACAGTTCCATGGAATTAAAACTGTGAGACACAGAGACGTTAAATGACTTCTGCCAGGACACATAGCAAGTAAATAATGGAGCTGATAGTCACACTCAGGAAGTATGACTCCATGTCTTCGCTTAAGTTCACACACTGTAATTCAAGCGCTGTTCTTTGTTTAAGAATGAAGTATAAAATATTTGTCACAAAAATAGAGCATGTGATGGACAGAGAATTTTATTTCATTTTGTGGCCCCTTGAGAGAGTGGGGTGATAGAAAAGGAGAGAAAAGTATAATTGAGATGAGCGGAAGTGAAGAAAGCAAAAGAGAAGGACTACAGATGGCAGAAAAAGGAATGATGACTCAGTGGCTTTGGGGTGAAAGCATTGCTCCCTTTTTTACCTTGGTTGCACAATCTTAGCAACTATATTGAGCACCTATGTACTGAGTGCTCAAGGACACAGTGGTGAGAAGAAAAAAAATAGCTTCCTTGCCCTTATGTATATAGTCTAATTCTTATGTAGTTTGAAGAAATAGTGTACTGTAGGGTCAGCTGCCACTTGGGTAGAGCAGGCTGGCTCCTCCCAAACCTCTTTCAAAGGATTCACGCAAACAAAAGAATTCCCTATTACTTTCCCCCTTAATTTGTACACACCTAATTCTTTTCGTTTGTTTTACAGATCTTTTTGTTCTGTTTTATTTTTGAGGTAAAAATTATAGTGCAGTGTGCAAATAATAATTATAAAGTTCAATAAATTTGACAAATGCATATGCTCTTATAACTGTTGGAGACGGTTTCCGTATGTCTTGTAAGCAGAGGCAATGTCTCTCTTTTCAGGAATGTTTTTATAGTGAACAGTCTTGAAAGGTAATGTCCCCTCTGGAGCAAAAGGCAGGTTTGTTTACTGTCCAGTATGATAAAGATAATGTCTTCTTCCAGAGCAAAGGGCAGGTACACTTACTGCTCTTTATAAAAGATTCAGGTTCCTGAAGGTTGAAGATCTTCAGTTCTGACACAAGCTTACTGCATACACAGCACCAATCTGGGCCCCTTTGTTACCTGTTTAAGGTTTAGGGGATAAGAGGAACCAATGCAGACATGATGCTCAAACTGCTTATTGTGCTGTGGATAATAAAGTTCTTTGTCTCTGACCCAGGAATTTTGTGTCTGTTGCTAGCATCCACAAGATTGGCAGGCTAACTTGCTATCTGGCAAATAGGGTAAAACCTCAGACCCTTCATGGTTCTTGACAGCCGCCCTCCTTCAAGATATGGACCTATCCATTGAAGCAGCAAGTTCCCTCCTACCCCTCTCCCATCAGTCTCACAAGAGATGATCCTATTTCTGGTTGTTTTCTTTCACAATAGATAGTTTTTTGCCATTTCTAGAACATCACATACATGGAATCATACAACAGATACTCTTGTGTTTCCCTGTCTGACTCAGCAGGTCTGTAAGATACATCCATGCTGTTGTACATATCCTTGGTTCATTCCTTTTCATATCTGAGTAGTATTCCATTGTTAGAATAGTCTTCAATTTATCCATTCCCCTGTTGACAGACATTTGGGTTGTTTTCAGCTTGCAGAATAAAGCTGCTATAAACATCCACATGTTTAGTAATATTTTATTGTATATAGAAGATTGGGAACAAATCACTGTAGAGATTCCAGATTCTATTATCTGCTTTTGAAGACTGCTCATTTTTTTCTTAGAAGGCACTTAATCTATCTGGACCCAAATTTCCAGCTCCAACTCTTTTGCAATGGGCTGCAGCTGAAATTTCTCTCGCAGTTTTCAGCCTTCCACCTTTTGTTTTTCACCTGCCGCCTTGAAGTCTGTTCTGCACGGGTACAGCCAAAGAAGTCAGCTAAAAATTAGGATGAGGTTCATTATAGATTTGGGACTCTCCATGTTGTGACTTTCCTTTTTTGATTATCCTCCCTGACTTCAAAGTTGTTTGGGCATCTCTAAACTCAGCCAATTGACTCCTCAAAGCAGTAAGACTGCACTTTTCTGCTTGAGTTCTAGCATCCCTGCACCCAAGAGGACATGAGAGTACCCTCAGGTAAAAAGCTTTATAAACAAATCTCACCCAATGTGATTCCCAAAATGATTATTCCCCTCAGTTTCTGCCTGCTTTTGGTCATTCTCCATGCCTTCAGATAGCTGTTTTTTAATATGTTGCCCAGAGTTTATAATTGTTATGGAAGACTTAGATAAAAGCTGCTCTATCATTTCCAGAAGCAGAATTCTGCCTAGTATATCTTTATCCCTTTAAGTCTTCTGTGTCATTTTACTTTGAATGTATCTCTTATAAGCAACATGTAGCTGGTTTTATATTTTTATGAAATCTGATTCTGTTTGCTATTCAATATGTTGGTTTAATCCTAATTTACATTTATGTGATTAATGAAATCTGGATTTATTTTTTACCATTTTATGTGTTCTGTTTACCATTATTTACATTTGCTTTAGTTCTGGTTTTTCACTAGATTGAAAAGCTTTTCTGTATTTTCCCCCCATCCTTTATGCTTTCCTCATTTGGAAGCTGTAAATTGTATTTCTCTTCCTTAGTGGCCACCCTTATATTCTACATATATATCTGTAAAATTTTTACCGAAGTCTAAAGTTATTCAATATTTCTTCCTTCCAAACAGGAAAAGATTACTGCATTTTATTTACCTGTTACCAAATTCCTATCTTTTATTGTTGTCTAAAAACTTAGCATCAACTTTTTTTTTTGGTGCAATTGTAAATGGGATTGTCTTCTTAATTTCTCTTAGTATCTTTAATTACTTCATTATTGTATAGAAATGCAATAGATTTCTATATATTAATTTTGTATCCTGTGACTTACTGAATTCGTTTATCAGTTCTAGTAGTGTTTTGGTGGAGTCCTTAGGGTTTTCTGTATATAGTATCAGGTCATCTGCACAGAGTGACAGTTTGACTTCTTCCTTACCACTTTGGATGCCTTTTCTTTTTCCTCATCTGATTGATGTGGTTAGGACTTCCAGCACTATGTTGAATAAAAGTGGTGAGAGTGGGCATCCCCTGTCTTGTTCCTGATCTTAAAGGAAAATCTCTCAGTTTTTCACCATTGAGTATGATGTTGGCTGTGAGTTTTGCATAAATGACCTTTATTATGTTGAGATATGTTCCCTCTAAACCTACTTTGTTGAGAGTTTTTATCATGAATGGACTTTGTACTTTGTCAAATGATATTTCTGCCTTTATTGAGATGATCATATAGTTTTTATCCTTTCTCTTGTAATGTATCATATTAATTGATATGTAAATATTAAACCATGCTTGCACCCCTGGAATAAATCCTATCTAATCGTGGTGAATGATTTTTTTTAATGTATTGTTGGATTCACTTTGCTGTTATTTTGTTGGGGATTTTTGCATCTATGTTCATAAGAGATACTGGCCTGTTGGGTTGCTTTGATTTGTTTTGCTCTGTAGTGTATTTATCTGGTTTTGTTGTCAGGATAATGCAGGCCTCATAGAATTAATTTGGGAGTATTCCTTCCTTTTCTATTTTTTTGGAATAGTTTGAGAAGAATAGGTATTAGCTCTTCTTTAACTGTTTGGTCGGTGCTCGCTTCGGCAGCACATACACTAAAACTGGAATGACACAGAGAAGATTAACGTGGCACCTGTGCAAAGGGTGACAGGTAAATGTTTGGTGGATTCACCTGTGAGGCCATCCAGTCCTGCACTACTGTTTGTTGGAAGTTTATTGATTACTGATGCCATGTTATTGCTAGTAATCAGTCTGTTCAAAATTTTTATTTCCTCCTGACTCAGTTTTGGAAGCTTACATGTTTCTAGGAATTTATCCATTTCTTGTAAGTTGTCCAATTTGTTGGCATATGATTTTTCATAATATTCTCTTACAATCCTTTATATTTCTGTGGTGTCGGTTGTTATTTCTCCTCCTTCATTTCTGATTTTATTTACTTGAGTCCACTCTTTTTCTTCTTGAGTCTGGGTAAAGGTTTACCAATTGTGTTTATCTTTTCAGAGGACCAACTCCTAGTTTCATTGATCTATTATTTTTTTAGTCTCTATTTCATTTATTTCTGCTCTAATCTTTATTATTTCCTTCCTTCTACTGGCTTTGGGGTTTGTTTTTCTTTTTCTAGCTCCTTTGGGTGTAAGGTTAGATTAGCATCAACTTTTTATCATAAATTTTTTTAAATCAATATTCAAATATACCAACATATTTTATGCTCATTATTGTTCCTTTTTGTTAAATAACAACGTAGTGACATATAATTTATATACCATAGAGGCACCATGGTTTTTTGCATCTAACTTCTTCCTCTTGGATTCACTTTTCTTCTTGCAACCTTTAGTAGTTATTCCAGTGAAATGTGTTTAGGAGTTTTATTTTGTTTGTTTTTTCATTTTTATTTTATTTTTTAAGATTTTACTTATTTGAGAGAGAGAGTACAAGCTGGGGAGAGAGGCAGGGGGAGAGGGAGAAGCAGGCTTCCCGCTGGGCAGGGAGCCCTATGTGGGGCTCGATCCCAGGGTGCTGGCATCATGACCTGAGCCAAAGGCAGACACTTAACTGACTGAGCCATGCACACACCCCTTGTTTTTTTTAAAAGATTTTATTTATTTATTTATTTGTCAGAAAGAGAGAGCACAAGCAGGGGGAGCAGCAGAGGGAGAAGCAGGCTCCCCACTGAGCAAGGAGCCCAATGCGGGACTCGATCCCAGGACTCTGGAATCATGACCTGAGCTGAAGGCAGACATTTAACTGGCTGAGCCACCCAGGTGTCCCTATGAGTTTTGTTTTGCTTTTGTCTCTAAGTGTCTTTATTTTGCTTTCACTCTTTGGATGATAGCTTTTGCCTGAGTATAGAATTCTACATTCAGAGTTCTTTTCCCCTCAGCAGTTTGAAGCTGTTATTCCATTGTGTTCTATCATTTGTATTTCCCAGTTAGAAATCTGATATTGATTTAATTCTTTATCATTCCTTTATAATTATTTTTTTCCTCTTTGGTAATTACTTCTAAGATTTTTCTCTATATTTTGTCTTAGTTTTGTTAAGAAGTAGTTGATAAATATCACCATATAAGGGGTACAGCATGATGGCTTGATTTACTTTATGTTTGATATGCTGCAGTTTACCATGATGTTTCTAGATATGAATTTATGTTTATCCTGCTCAGTATAGAATGCACTTTTAATCTTAGGGGTTATTCTTCAATTTTGGAAAGTTCTTTGCCACTATCTCTTCAAATACTGCTTCTTTGTAATTTCTCTATTTCCTCCTTTTGGAAGTTCCATTAGATAGAGTCTCTCATTTTGTCCTCTGTGTCACTTATTTTCTTGTGCTATTTTTAAAAATCTCTTTCTGTAGCATTCTGGGTTAATTCTTCAGTAATGGTTTCTAATATAGGATATCTCTCTTAGACTGTGTGCAGACTAGAGTGCCCATTGAGTTTTCTATTTCAATAGGTATGTTTTTCTAATTTTTAATTCTTCCTATCTATTTTTATCATGCCTGATTTTGCTTCATAATGTCTTATTCTTTTAAAATATGTATATCTTGCTTCATCTCTTTGAGGATATGAAACAGTCTTTTTTCTTTCTTTAGATTGTGCTTTTACTTCAATTTAATCTAGAGAAAATCATTGTTTTGATTATTGATTTTATGGCAGTGTTTCTTAATGGTAGATGTCTTCATGTGCATTGGAACTTTGATTTCCCTATTTATTTTGAATGGGAAAGTTGAATGGGAAGGCTTGTTTTGTTATCTACAACTTTCTATCTAAGGATTTTGCACTTGGCCAACATGCTCCCTGGGTCTCTAAGTCTCAAATCAGGTCTTACATTGACAATTTGAGATTTCTCCCCTGTGTTGATTAGTTATTGCCAATAGTCTCAAAATCTCAGTGGTACACAGCAATAAGCATTTCTTATGCTCACAAGTCTATGGGACAGCTCTAATTCAGACTGTGGGTCTGTAGTCAGCTTGGGCAGTACCACTTGTGTTCATTGTTGAGCCCAGGCTGAAGGAGAAGCAGCTATCCAGGGGAAGCTCATCTCATGATAAAGGCAGGAACACAATAGAGCAAAACCCATCATGCAAGCATTTCAAGCCCTTGCTTATATAACATCTAAAAACATCTATTGGGAGGCGCCTGGGTGGCTCAGTCGTTAAGCGTCTGCCTTCGGCTCAGGTCATGATCCCAGGGTCCTGAGATCGAGCCCCGCTCTGCAAGAAGCCTGCTTCTCCCTCTCCCACTCCCCCTGCTTGTGTTCCCTCTCTCACTGTGTCTCTCTCTGTCAAATAAATAAAATCTTTAAAAAAATAAAAAATAAAAACATCTATTGGCCAAAGCAAGTCTGATAGTCAAGCCCCAAATCAAGGAGCAATTTAAATATATTCTTCAAAGTTAAAAATGCAAAGGGTGGACACAAAGAAGAGTGAAGGTTTGAGGTCAGGAATCAGTTCAATCAACCACAGTCCATCTTCTTGGCCACAATTATTTGTATGTGTCCCACAGAAAAACAGATTCACCCTTATCCTAAGACCCCCAACAGCCTCATCTAATCATGGCATTATGATCAATATCCAGTAATTCATGATATACATCAAATTTGAATGTTGTTCCCATTGATCTGGAAACCTGTGAACTAAGATGTATGGGGGGGGGGATGTGTGTGCAATCTTCACACACTATCTTTTTTTTTTTTTTTAAGATTTTATTTATTTATTTGACAGAGAGAGAGATAGTGAGAGCAGGAACACAAGCAGGGGGAGTTGGAGAGGGAGAAGCAGGCTTCCCGCTGAGCAGGGAGCCCGACGCGGGGCTCGATCCCAGGACCCTGGGATCATGACCCGAGCTGAAGGCAGACATTTAACGACTGAGCCACCCAGGCGCCCCTTCACACACAATCTTATATACCACATGGAATGATAGAACCTGGAATAGGATAACTACAATTAACTCCTAGTAAAAAGGGAGAGATTAAAAGGCATTATTAGCATTCACTTGTTCTAAAATACCAAAGGAAAAATGTTACCAGGTACCCCTATTCTGAAAAGAAAGAATTTTCCTTAATTAGACCCTAATTCTGCTCCCTAGCAGTGTGTCTCCAATCCATTGTTCTCTACTGCTCTTAGTTTCGCCTCCCAGAGGGTGAATTCTTTAGATTACACAACATTCTTAGTTACAGCAATATCCTTAAGTTTAATATCCCGCCCCTCCACCCCAGGCTGAATCTGAGACTCCCTTACTGCCTGGAGATGAAGAAGTTTATTTGCCAAATAAACAAGTTCTGGACTCTGAATTCCTCTAAATTCTTCTTGCAAGTTGGCAGGGGTTTTTCTCCCCCAAATGTATCTTTTTCTTATACCACCTTATAAAATAGAACTAAAAGTAACTGGCTCACACTTTGAAAATATGCCTAGAAATCGTCCCTGCTATCCTTCATGTTACCACAGGTAACAGTTTTACTAAACACATGTTGCCATTTTTCGACTTCTGTAATAGTTTTCATGCCATCCATCACCTGTCCTCTAAGCTAATAGCATGATTTAGGTTTTTGTTACATAGCATCCCAGTATTAGGTTTTCTGTATCGGCTAGCTATTGATGCATAACAAACAACCACAAAATCTTAGTGACACATAACAATAAGCTCTTAATTCTCTCGTGGGTCTGCAGGTGAGATACAGCAGCTTAGGTGGCAATGGCGAAAGCAGCTCTGCTTCACATTGCAGGGCTGTGGGCAGGTAGGGCAGTTCTGCTCTGCAAATAGTCATGCTAGGGCCCAGGTTGAAGAGTGGCAGCTACTCTGGGGAAAACCCTTTTCAGTGAGGTGACAGAAGTACAAGAAGGTAAGCCCCATCAGATGAGCACAAGCCCCTGCTTTCATCACATCCACTAATATCCCACTGACCAAAACAAATTCCATGGCTGAGCCCAAAGTCAAAGGGTGGAAAAGTGTATTGACTTTTGATGGAAAGAACTTCGAACTTAGAATGGCATAGGACATGGAGAGGGGAGAAGAATTTGGGCTAGTAATTGATCTCATCCTCCATGGTAGTATGTGAGATGCTGGTTGCCAGCCTGCACTTATGTTCTGCCTCCAGAAGCCCCCAGCCTCCCATAAAGCTATAGGGCCAAGAAGTAGCCAACAGCAGCTTTTTAAAGTTTCCTTGTAAGGGAGTGGAAGGAAGCGAGGATCCCCCAGCCCGGCACCTCGTTTTAGGCAGCAAACCTGTCCCTGACCTCCACCTCATCTAGGACACTTCTATTCTCCCCAAAAGAGAATGTACACTCTCAATTGCTTCTGCCTACTTCACGACCCACTCCAGCAGGCCCATGGCTCCAGCCCCCATTTGTTCATAGCATTTCTTTTCTGTTCCTACCTCACAGAAATGCTGTATCTTATTGAACAAAGTTGTGTCTTTTTTTTAAAGCTGTGTGTTTTTTCTTTCATATGTGTCACAGCCATGGGATTGGAGCAGGGGGAACCTTGAACCTTGAACTTTTAATAGCATTACCACCCAAAGTTGTAGAATACTGTATGAAGGTTCTCTTTTATTTCTGTGATGGTTTTTATTTTTATTTTTTTTAATGTTTTATTTATTTATTCATGAAAGAGAGAGAGAGAGAGAGGCAGAGGCAGAGGGAGAAGCAGGCTTCCCAAACAGCAGGGACCCCGACGTGGGACTC